TTGCAAAAGGTTTTAATTCCTGAAATCCATAAAAGAAGAGAGTGCAACACTGTTCCTTGCAGCCGAGGGAGAGGTCCTCTCTTGTCGGGCAGTGTTTGATCATTATGGGCTGAGAGGTTAAGTGTAAGACCATTGAGGATAATACCTGATGGACTAATCTTGCATCTGCCCACAGTCCCTGGGTGTTACAAGGTGGCTTGGCCCAGAGACCACTTAGGGTAAGTGTTGGGCCCATAGAGCCCATGCGATGGGCTTTAGGGGGTGCACTGTCCATAACAGTGTATTCGGCCAGGCCTTGTAACAAAGGCTGGGCTGAACCCATGTGACTGATGTGTAGATTAATGTTTGGGTCCCACACCATACAAGGAAGCCCAACTGGGCAGCAGTTAGGAAGGCTAAGTGAACACATAACCTTAATGGGCCTAAAGCCCATTTCGAACTGGGCTGATTTGATCAGTTAAATAAAGGGCGAATTCTAGGATTGGATAGGCAGATAGGATAGGGTCGTAACCCTATCCACTCAGAGAGTCCAGATTTGAATGTGATCTGGAAACCTCCTAATGAGATTAGGAAAAGGTTGATCCAATCTGCAGATAAGATAAGGGTTTACCCTTATCACTTAAAGGGATGTCTGATCCAAATATGATTTGGATCATCAATTCCTAATGTGATTAGGAGCTGATCCCTTTAAGGTTACAAAAGAAGGAGGGGGCGACAGCCTTTAGAAGACACATATTCACATCCTCTTCAGAGTTGAAATCACAGAAGGAAGAATTAAGCAACCCTGCGAAATTCTTTCTTGCCGCTTCACCTGCCAGTTCGATCTCCAGTTTAGTGGGAGAAATCAAGATTCGTTCTTGACATCAATTCCTTGTGAAGGGACTGATAGGAAGTTGTGCTCACGTGCCATCCTGCTACTTCTTGCGAAGGATTAGGTTCTTGGAGAGAACACTGTTGATTCTGCTCCATCCTACACTGCACCATCTTCAGTAGGAGCAGTCTTTGGATCCTTCCTTGGGCATGAACACCTTCGTTGGGAGATATTATTTCTTCGTATCAGGTATAATCCTCTCCTACTGCTTTTGTTCAGATCTGGTTCGATATATGGTTCAAGATTGATCCTTGAAAATTTTGATTTATCTAAATTTAGGGAATGCGATTCCCAGTTGAAGGGAGAGAAATTTTTGAAATTCGCCCACCTTATTCCGCAAGATTTGGGCGTGCATACGATGGATCTCTCATCCCTTCACAAACATGTTCCAAAAAATTAATAAGATTACCTGAGTGCAAATCATACCTGATCCATGGGGAGAACAAGGGCAAGATAGCTTGAATAGCTTTCCATGGAGATGCTCTTGTAGCCCATGCTAGGATCCTAGAGTCCCATCCATTGTCTGTCAGCCTATGAATACTTCCCACTATCTTAACCCACAATCTTTTTTTCTCCAAAGTATATCTCCACAACCATTTCCCTAGTAGTGCTAAGTTCCTAATTCTTATGTTCCCAATTCCCAAGCCTCCCTCCTTGCTCCTACACACCACCTCCCACCTTACCCTATGGACCTTCTCCTCCCTAGGCTCCCAAAGGAAGTCTTTCATTAGTTTTTCTAGCCTTCTAGCCATCTTAGCCGGAATCTTAAAGATTGATAAAAAATAGACAGAAAGGTTAGCAAGAATAGACCTAATCAAAGTGATTCTCCCTTCAAGAGACATAATTTTTCTTCCAATTGGCAAGTCTTTTTTCAAACCTCTCCACCACAAAAGCCCGAAAATCACTTTTCTGAGGATTATCTCCCAATGGTAGACCAAGGTAGTTTAAGGGTCAATTAGATACTACACACCCCAAAATATCTGCACACTCACTAACCTCCCCTTCCCCTATATTAATTCCAACTATACAACTTTTCTTAAAGTTCACTCTAAGGTTTGACATTTGCTCAAAAAGTTGTATAGTGAGCTTCAGGTTTCTAATCTTATTGATATCCCCTCCTTCACAAAACAGAATTGTGTCAGATGTGAATCAGTCTTCTAATATCAGGTTTAAAATCAGTAATTAATAGTGCAAATCAGATCTGAATAATAGTGCAAGAGCTGTGTATGTCGAAAAGAAGAAGTAAGAGAAGAAGAAGTCGAATAATTCACCCTTCTCCTCTA